TAATCACAGTCAAGTAAACCCAAATATTAGTATTTGTAAGACTGGTTACAAATACTGGATTTCAAAAATACAATTTTTTAAAGACAGTTTAGTTTGAAAGTTACAAAACGGAAAGATTGGTGATACGGAATAACAAGAATTAAAAATAGTAAACGTCAAACAAACGAAATGTAGGCTATTTTCACGCATGAAAACTGCACGACAGTTAAGCCTTTTTAGATACATACTAATTAACACACAAATACCCAAACATTTTTTTTATATTGCCACTCATACGCACACATTCACATACATGTAAAGAACAGAACGCTCTTGTCATTGTACTCGACTTTCATGAGTTCGTATCCACATTGTCACTTTTTTTTTTTTCTCTAGAAACCGAATAGGGTGCCAGGTCGGCCATGTCTAAAATGCACAAGTAAGTGCCAGAAAAGTTTCGTAGAAATAATGGAGACTTAATGTGCGAAGAGAGACATAAGAACAGCTAGTGCGGAATCTAGTGCTTGGGAAGGGTAATAAGGCACATTCCGTTAGAGAAGTGGTGGTATATTAAAACTAAATTTATGTGAAAATACAAGTTTAAAAAAACAAACAGTTTTCTAAAAAAATTACCAAAATTAACACATCATCATCATGCAGCAGTCGGTTCTTTGCAGAACGTCTCTTTCATTACATCTAGCTTGATAGATGTGTGCTATCTAGCCTGATCCCATCTTCGTGCAGGTCTTCACCTGCCGTCTTTCCTGATAGTAATCTTTCTGCCTTTACTTTGTCCAATCAGACTTGGCGCTTGTTAGTTTATGTCTAGAGCAAGTCAGAAACCACAGAATTCGGGAAATTGGAGACGTTAGTTTATGTCTTGAGTAGGTCAGAAACCACAGATAACAGAAGATTGGAGATGTTAGTTTATGTCTAGAGCAGGTCAGAAACCACAGATAACAGAAGATTGGAGATGTTAGTTTATGTCTAGAGCAGGTCAGAAACCACAGATAACAGAAGATTGGAGATGTTAGTTTATGTCTTGAGCAGGTCAGAAACCACAGAAGACAAGATTGGAGATGTTAGTTTATATCTAGAGCAGGTCAGAAACCACAGAAGACAGAAGATTGGAGATGTTAGTTTATGTCTATAGCAAGTCAGAAACCACAGAAGACAGAAGATTGCAGATGTTAGTTTATGCCTTGAGCAGGTGAGAAACCGCAGATAACAGAAGATTGGAGATGTTAGTTTATGTCTAGAGCAGGTCAGAAACCACAGAAGACAGAATATTGGAGATGTTAGTTTATGTCTAGAGCAGGTCAGAAACCACAGATAACAGAAGATTGGAGATGTTATTTTATGTCTAGAGCAGGTCAGAAACCACAGACGACAGAAGATTGGAGTTGTTATTTTATGTCTAGAGCAGGTCAGAAACCACAGACGACAGAAGATTGGAGATGTTAGTTTATGTCTAGAGCAGATCAAAAACAACAGAAGACACAAGATTGGAGATGTTAGTTTATGTTTAGAGCAGGTCAGAAACCACAGAAGACAGAATATTGGAGATGTTAGTTTATGTCTAGAGCAGGTCAGAAACCACAGAAGACAGAAGATTGGAGATGTTAGTTTATTTCTAGAGCTGGTCAGAAACCACAGATAACGGAAGAGTGGAGATGTTAGTTTATGTCTAGAGCAGGTCAGAAACCACAGACGACAGAAGATAAGAGATGATAGTTTATGTCTAGAGTTGGTCAGAAACCACAGAAGATAAGAGATGATAGTTTATGTCTAGAGATGGTCAGAAACCACAGAAGATAAGAGATGATAGTTTATGTCTAGAGATGGTCAGAAACCACAGAGGATAAGAGATGATAGTTTATGTCTAGAGTTGGTCAGAAACCACAGAAGATAAGAGATGACAGTTTATGTCGAGGGAAGGTTAAATTACATTCACACACAAAAATTCTTCTTCTGCGATACAAAATTGCTATTATGTGTCTGTTACATAAATAATTGCCCTATGTTTTAAATTTATCATTGTCTGTCAGTGTTAGATTAATAAATATATGTGTCAGAAATATGTCAGCAAGTGTACTTTCCAAGACGCAAACTTCATATCTTGATAAGCCGAAATTGTTTTGAGACATAAACACATTGTTGATTAGAAACTTGTTAAATTAAATTAAAAAAGAAAACATTCTCACGTAATATTAACATATTTCAACATCATCATCATTATTATCATCACCATCATCATCAGCATCGTCCTACAGAAACCTTAACGTCAAACAGAGGTTGCTGTCTTTTCCTCATGTCTATCCTGGGAAATCTTGTAGATACCAAGCAGACAATCCATACAAGGAGCTGTGGCCTCTGTCGCTAAAATTCATCCTAAGTTTTAACGTATGAACAATATTCTCAGAACATATTACCTTCCTAATGAAAACAAAAACAGCTGCTTATCTTATATCATAATTAATCATACTATAACATTCAAGTGGTCGAAATACTCCAAGTTGTTAAAACACTCACAAGTTTCACCAAAAAAAAACAATACACCCGAAGGGATGGTAGTTTTTTAAACAGTTAATAGGCCACACGGTAAACCAAAATCTTGGTCAGCTTTTTGTCAGTGTCGTTTGAAACTTAACCAAAAAACGAAGTTTAAATCCTAACTGGCTGATCAACGCCTCACTATTAAATAATATCGTTCAGTCTAAAATGACCAACCATTTGTGTCCATCAGCAGAAGTTTCAGCAAAAACATTGTCGCTGCTATTTACAGTCGAGTAAACGTAAACCGCGATCGAAACCTGCGTGGGCTGCGTGGATTTTTATCGTGGTATGGGACGTCGCAGGTCGACCCAGCCTCAAATGGGTACCAGGATGGGCTGTCCTGGGAAAGTAAAAACGGCTGGCGTAATGCTGACCACATTACCCACCGAGTGCCAATTGGTCTGTAAAAATATAGGTGCTCTTCCCGTATGCCCGATGCGCCTTAAAGGCGTGTAAAGGGATCTTTACTTTTTTTACTTTTAAACGTAAGTCGAACTCGGATAAGTCGAATTTCGGTTAAGTCGACATGACCAGCTTAGTCCCGGCGATTTTCTCTATTGTGTGTGCTGTCTGGATAAATAGAAATACTGATAGGTGAAAGCATTTTCTTAGGGCCCTGCGACCTCTACTTATCCAGACTCGACAGTATATCTTGTCACTGCTATATGCCTTGTCACTACCACAAATCTTGTCACTGCTACATGTCATGTCACAGCTATATGTATTGTCACTTCTGAAAGTCTTGTCACCACTACATGTCTTGTCACTACACCATGTATTGTTAGTGCTTCATAATTAGTTGTCACTGCTACATCTCTTGTCACCACTACATGAATAGTTGTCACTGCTACATCTCTTGTCGCCACTACATGAATGGTTGTCACTGCTACATCTCTTGTCACCACTACATGAATAGTTGTCACTGCTACATCTCTTCTCACCAATACAAGAATAGTTGACATTGTTACATGTCTTGTCACCACTACAAGAATAGTTGACACTGCTACATGTCTTGTCACCAATACAAGAATAGTTGACATTGTTACATGTCTTGTCACCACTACGTGAATAGGTGCCACTGCTCCATATCTTGTCAGCACTACACGAATAGTTGACACTGTTACATGTCTTGCCACAGCTACATGAATCATTGACACTTCTACATGTATTGTCTCTGCTTCATGACTGGTTGCCACGGCTACATGAGCTGTTGTCACTGCTACCCTAATAGTTGTCACTGCTACATGAGTTGTCACTGCTATCATAAAAGTTGTCACTGCTACATGAGTTGTCACTGCTACCTTAATAGTTGTCACTGCTACATGAGTTGTCACTGCTTCATGACTAGTTGTCTCTGCTAAATGCATTGTCACTGCTACGTGTATGGGTTTTACAGTTAAATGTATATGTGTCACTATTACATGTGTTGTCACCTCCTTCATGATCTGTTGTTACCAATAAATATCATGTCGCTGCTAGCTGACAGGTTTTTACTGCTTCGTGACAAGTTGTCACTGCAACATGGCTATCTGCCACAACTATATGTTTTGTCACTACAATATTGTTTGTCACTGCTACATGTCTAGTCACTCCTACATGTCGTGTCACTGCTTTACGACTAGCACTAACTGCTATATGTCTAGTTGTCACTGCTACACGTCTTGTCACTGTTACATGGCTAGTTGTCAATGCTATATGTCTAGTTATCATAAATACATGTCTTGTCCTGCGACATGCCTATTTGTCACTACTGCATGCCCTGTCACTGCTTCACGACTAGTTGTAAATGTCTAGTCACTACAATATGTCTTGTCACTGCTACATGCCGTGTCATTGTTATATGTAACTATTTGTCACTGCTATATGACTAGACGTTACTGCTAAATGTCTATTTGTCACTGCCTGAGGTCTATTTGTCCCAGTTACATGTCTAGTTGTCACTGCTGCATGACTAGTTATCTCTGCTACATGAGTAGTTGCCACTGCTTCATTTCTAGTTGCCACTGCTACAAGATTAAACATTACTGCTACATGTCTAGTTGTCATTAATACAGGTCTTTTTGCCCCTGCTATATGTCTTCAAGTCAGTGCTACATGACAAATTACTATTGCTACACGTCTAGATGTCACTACTACATGACTAGTTGTCACCGCTACATGTCTAGTAACTACTATATGTCTTGCCACTGCTATTTGCCATGTCAATGTATTATGTCTAGTTGTCATTACCGCATGTCTTGTCACTGCTGCATGTCAAATTGTCATACGAATAGGTGTAGTTTTCACAACTACATGTCTCTTTGTTCAATGCTAAATGTTTAGTTGTCACTGCTTCATTAATAGACGTTACTGTTACAGGCCTAGTTGTCATTGCTGCAGGTCTATGTGTCCCTGCTACATGTCTTATTTTCACTGTTACATGACTAATGATCACAATTGCATTTCTAGATGTCACTACTTCGTGTCTAGTCACTGCTACTGTCTGATGACCCTGATGATCCAGAACTCGATAGCGATGTCGCTCTCTTTTTAACAAGCGAAACAAATTTACTCTTTCCGCTTTGGGTGACAAGCCGGGTGGTCTCCGACGCCAGCTGGGCTGAGACGCTCATGTTGTCAAACTGTGACGGGTAAAAGTCCATAGAATGCAGCTCTCGCATCATACGCTGGCAGGACAACATAAAACAGGTTATTATGGAAATATGGATACCAGAAACATCGCAGTTACACAAGGCAATTTAATGTGTCTGAATGCTTCATCTGTCATCAAATGTGAACCATGAAACGATATACTACAGTGGCCCATTTCCTTTCTGTTATATTTGTCCCTCTTTCTGATTACAGTTAAGTGCATGTGTTTATAAGAAATATAAAAGTTAGATTTGCCTAAGGAATTTTTTTTTGCTGTTATTGTTACTTTGATATCCTTATCAATTTCACCATTACTTTCATTATTTTTTTTTAAAGCATTATTATTATTGAATGTCTGCTGCTGCTGCTGCTGCTTTTTCTTCTTCTTCTTCTTCTTCTTCTTCTTCTTCTTCTTCTTCTTCTTCTTCTTCTTCTTCTTCTTCTTCTTCTTCTTCTTCTTCTTCTTCTTCTTCTTCTTCTTCTTCTTCTTCTTCTTTCCTTGTTCCCACACCCTTTTTTAAATAACCTTATATTCTTCTTTATAGATTGCACAAGTCATAATGACGACTGCATAATAAGCATAATGTGCCTAAGATCACGATGGTGATGACAATGGTGGTGATAATAGTGATGATAACCAATGGTGATGATAATGGTGATGATAACCGATGGTGATGATAATGGTGATGATAACCGATTGCGATGATAATGGTAATGATAACCGATGGTGATGACAATGGTGATGACGATGGTGATGACAATGGTGATGATAATAGTGATGATAACCGATGGTGATGATAATGGTAATGATAACCGATGGTGATGATAATGCTGATAACGAGGAGGAGGTGGCTCTCACCTGTAGTGGGCCTCCGCCAATCGCCTGAACCGGGTGTTCCACGTACACTTCCCGGTGTCTGCCATCCGGCTCGTTTCGGATCTGACTGTTGACAAATAATTAAACACAGACATAGTCGAACATTGATCAAATGGTGTGGGTCTAGTGTGTTTCCAGTGCACAGGCACTGGACTGGATCCACTGTAATGATACGTTTGACAGTCTAAGGTCAGCCCAGTTTTACTGATGGTTCATTAATGATGGATCTTCAGCAAGTCAACAATTATAGAATAATACTTCTCGTCCTTTTTAGGATGAAATTTTTCGTTTTTTGAAGCCCTACTCTGGCTCTTGCCGGGGGGCCGCGATATAGCCTGGCCATAAATTCAGCCCGTAGGTTGAACTCGGTTTCTGGGACCTCTCCACGGTGATCCTCACCCGCATGGTGGCACATTGTGTCATCGGGTGTTTATCGCCTGTGTGATGTCCTGGTGGGGTAGAAAGTCAGTCAGTCAAGAGTGTTAGCTGCAAACATGTTGAAATGGGGAGCTGAAATTGTAGAGCAATCAGCACGCCTGCCTTCTGGTCCCAGGTTCGTGTGTTAGAATCTCCCATCATTGCTAAGACATGCTTGATTTTATGTATATTTATTCATAGTTTGATTTTATGTATATTAATTCGTAGTTTGATTTATCAAAGCCTCTATGTTGTCCTTGCCTATCAGGATGGGGTGGGAGGGTGTGGAGTAAAGAAAAACTACTTTTTTCAAGTGAGTAAGAGGTGCATCGAGTATTTAATTTTCATTTGTGCTAATTGGTAACATGTGGAAGAAAAATGCCTGCAGTAAATATTTCTTGAGGCCTCAGAGAAGTAGTTTTACAGAAGGATTTTTACAATTACTTAGACACCCAAAGAAGAGCAGCCACGATGTGTGTGTTTTTTTCAAAGCGAAAGCTCAAAGACAACTAATCACAAACATCAGCAAAGCACAGTAGTCTTATAGTTGTTGTCATACCATGAGGAGAAAGAAATTGGGACATGCTGTGCACCCTGGAAAGAGCTGTTGAGAAAGAGACAACGATAACGAGAAACTATACTTGGCAACCTTTTTTTTTTTTTATGGCAAAGAGAGGTGTCAACTAACAAACTGATACATGCTGCTGAAGATCACAGACTGTGGAGAGGCACGATCGCCCATGCCTATCGGAAAGCACTTGATGATGATGATGATGATGATGATGATGATGATGATGATGATGATGATGATGATGATGATGATGATGATGATGATGATGATGAAATACACAGAAATTATGACGGGAATTGCTAGCAGTCAGTTCGTATAGTGATCATAGGAAATATGTAAACAGTGGTAAATATGTAAACTGCTAATAGGAAGTGGAGATTGATGATGCTTCTCATTCTTTTCTCTACACATGGAATGCCTCGTGGCATCAGCGCAGGAAGAGGTATGTGGAACGACCCTTTTGTTCGCTTCGTATAAAGTACTTTTTAGTGACTCTGATATTTCTGCAGTCCACAGTCTGCGTGGTTGTCCTCTGGACTGTTACCGCTGTATCGGTATAACATTGCTCTTTGTGGTGCCCTGTCTAGTGCCAATCTTATAACGTGAAGAAACCATCTGATTTGTTGTCTACCTTTACAATTAATTGGTGGTTCTGTGCCTACTCACCTCATAACTGCTGTAAATGCATTACTTGTAAATGGGAAATACGGTCAGTTCAGTATCATTTACAAAAAGTTGCAGAATCAACCCCATCATTTATTAGCTGTTTGTAAATGCATTAGACACTTTTACGTTCAGTTGTCTGCCATTAAATGAGAGCTTTCAAAATGAAATGCTACACAACAATTCTTACAATACCCATTACCAAGAAAACAGAATAACATCGACTCTTTCGTGACATGAACATCAAGGAGCGCTGGCCCTTGCTAAGCTGAAGTATTTTAGGCATTTTAAGCGCACGGACAGACCTCTATGAAGGTCGAGGTAGGCAGGTTACGCAGACAGTGGTTTGAATCATTGCACAACCCCCCTATGTGTGCAGTTACCTTTGTATTCGCCCCAGTGCCTGAAGGTGTTGTTGGTAAAGAAAGAGCTGATAGACTGGCAGGTGCTGCATTAATTAAAGATGGCCGGCCCATGGATCACGCAGACATTGTCATTGCCCTCAGAGAGATAGGACGTTCTAAAGATTTTGGAAGCAACGTGTCCACATCACTGCTAAGAATGCGCAAATTCGGAGTAAAGATCAGTACAGCCAAGCATGAGAAGCACACCAGACGCACACCAAGTCATATTAACCAACATAGGACTAGCACTATTTCCCCACGACACTGATGAATTTTTTGAGAGGGGAATCTGAGCGGCTATGGATGTGTCTGGAGTGCTGTGAAAATAATCTAACTCATAAGAGACCTCGACGACGATGGAAACAAGACACCGAAGATGCATTGTCTATAACAGCACACAGGGCTGGAGAAATAGTTTCAGAAAAAGAGACTTTCAGGCGTGGTGCGAAAGCAGCTACATTCTGTAAAGAACCCGCTAACTGTATGAGTTTGAGAGTGCCATTGCACGGTCCTCTCTCGATACCACGGTCGAAGCCAGTGCAGAACGGTATGTTACCATAGCTGGGATCGAACCCGGCACTCGCAACGCCTAAGCCACAGATGCCGAGAAACGAGAAAAACATCTGGCAAACAAAAGTGTAAATTGGAAATACCTGAGGTAAAAATTAAAAGAAGCAGATGGGGAAACACATTGTCTACAGACACAACCGTCTGTCACCCACACAAAACAGTTAGACATGATGAGGAAATGAAAAATGTCACATCTAGGGTGCATAATAAACGGCAATGGAGACTGTTCAACGGGAGTCGGCAGGTGAATCGCTACATCAATGCAAGGATTAGACAGCGTTAAAGGTTAGGCACACAAAAAGAACACCAGAGTGAACATTTTGAGAGCATGCACCTTCCCTGTAAAAACATAACGGATGTTAGTTTTGGACTATCTCGCAGTAATTAGAGAAGAAAATAAGGGGGCTGAAATGCTAAAGAAAGATATTCAGAATAGTTTATACCAAAAACAAAAGAAATACTGTCATTCTAAATGATATAAACATCAAAGAAGATTGGCTAGTAAATAGGCTCTTGTCCCGGGAACTGAAATATTTTGGCCATTACGAGCACCACAGCGGATTAAGGGAAAAAAAGATAAACAGTAGCAGAAGGAATAAGCCTGAAAAGAGGGGGGAGGTGACGACCAACACGAAGATAGGCACAGGATATACCTTGGCCAGGGCAGTACCCCTGGCGGGAGAGCTGGCGAGAGACCGAATTTCGTATCGGGAAGGGAGCGGTGAAGAGAGCAAGCAGCATTCTGCAAACGACCTGTTACGTAGTGGTGATGATGATGATGAGATGTGACCAACCTGCGATAGTAGAGCAGCAAGGAGGAGAAGATCACCACACAGCCCAGTCCTGCGAAAATTCTTTCCAGGCTTGTGCCTTCTTCCCCTGTAGGATAGGATGGGTGGTTACTTGACAATACTGACTGTGGGGAGTTGGAGGTCAGGTGGGAGACAATGGACTAGGTGAGTAACTGACCTAATTACAGAAATTAGGAAGGGTGTTAGAGTGAGAAAAAGGGTGACAGAAAGACGGATCAAACAGGAGCATTCTGAACCGATGAGGGTGTATCGAACGAATGAAAATTAGCGAGAAAGGTATAGTAACAAGAAGAACAATCAGAGATAGAATCAGAGATAAGGAAGGAGACACAATTAAAGATCGAGTGAGAGTTAGTTTAAGGGGTGCAGCCAAATAAAGTGAGCGTTTAAGAGATATTGAGTGTGAGATTCGGTGAGATAAAGAATGCCAAGTAGACAGACAGACAGACAAACAGAGGTACAGACATACAGCCAGACGGACAGACAAACACAAGGACGGGAGGACGAGTGGGTGAGTGGGCCGACGGACAGGCGGACGGACTGACGAACGGGCGGATAGATAGATAGACCGACCGACCGACCGACCGACCGACCGACCGACCGACCGACCGACCGACCGACCGACCGACCGACCGACCGACCGACCGACCGACCGACCGACCGACCGACCGACCGACCGACCGACCGACCGACCGACCGACCGACCGACCGACCGACCGACCGACCGACCGACCGACCGACCGACCGACCGACCGACCGACCGACCGACCGACCGACCGACCGACCGACCGACCGACCGACCGACCGACCGACCGACCGACCGACCGACCGACCGACCGACCGACCGACCGACCGACCGACCGACCGACCGACCGACCGACCGACCGACCGACCGACAGACCGACAGACCGACCGACAGACCGACCGATAGACAGACAGATAGATAGATAGACAGACAGACAGATAGATAGATAGATAGATAGATAGATAGATAGATAGATAGATAGATAGATAGATAGATAGATAGATAGATAGATAGATAGATAGATAGATAGATAGATAGATAGATAGATAGATAGATAGATAGATAGATAGATTCGATAGATAGATAGATTCGATAGAAAGATAGACAATAAGCACTTGTGAAAGAAAAATATATTAAGAGATATACTTGAAAAGTAAGATGAGGTCACAGTGGAGTTAAAGGTATGGGGATATGAGAGGTATAATTATCAATGTTTTTTTTTTTGGGGGGGGGGGGGGGGGGCGGTGGTAGCCAGAAGTACTTTTGCGTAACTCATTGGGATCAGTAATGAGTCATGATTTGTATTAACTACCACGACCATAGGTGCTCAGATACACACTTCAACTCTCCAACATTTAATTCAGCGTCCCGCGGTTGATGGTCCCAGTTTCAAGAAAAGATATAAACCCGAACGAAAAGTATATTAGCAAGCTTCACAATATAACAAATACAACAAACCGTGAACGTTGCGGCTATTGAGACTTCATCAGCACACACAAAATAAACAACACTACATAGATACAAAAAAATCACTTAGCTGGTATCACGATGCGGCCAGGTCGGTTGTTACTCAGCAAAATGGGCTACTACATGTCCCAGAGTCTGTTAGAGTCCCAGTTTGACAGGAGCTCTCGTGCGTCCGTTGTGCTTCTCATGCCTGGCTGTGCCGATCTTACCTCCTAATTCTTGCACTATTAGCAAAGATGTTGTTGTGCTGCACCCGAAATTCTCTAAACGTCCTACTTCTTGAATGCCGTTAACAATGTCGGCATGATTCATGATCCTTGGGCCGACCCTCTGTAACTAATGCAGAGCCTGCTAATTTGTCGGGTCTTTCATTGCCAACCACACCCGCATGCCCAAGGACAAAGAGGCAGGTACCTCTGCGCAGAGTGGAGTTTTGCAATGACTCGATCCACTGTCTGCGTACAAAGCACGCCTCGACCCGCCGCATCATACTCATTGAATCACTCAGCATAGATAGCCATTCGATTCTAATAGCCACATGCAAGCTTGTGTTACTGCCATCACCTCCATTGTGAAGTACATCGGCGTCCGCCCCATCTGAATTTTCACATGTGGACGCGTGGACCTCTGCATTTATAGCAACGGATTTTGCTCCCGACAGTCCCTATTGAGCGTGACAACATAGCGGAGAACATTGAGGTAATCCGGAAAAAATGGTTATCGGGTCTGAGGACCAGTAACTACACCTGAGAACAGTGCCGCAGCTAGCCAGCGAGTGAGTTATGTTCCTTTATTACGCCTGTATCCTCCATGTGTGAACCTGACAGTCCTTTCCAAGACATCACTGAATCTATGCATTACTATTTTCTCCAGAAGTTTGCCAATAGTGTTCTGAATCAATTATATTTATCTACCTGCTCATCTTGGAGTGGTCTATGTTTGTTTTGGCAGCGGTAGTAAGTAGCTGTATAGCCACTTATCTCATTATTTTTTCAGCGAGTTCTGTCATTTCGTCCTCAGACATCTGCAGCATATCAGCTTATCGGATGCCGTTGCGGGCCACTGAACAGTGTTGTGTGATTTCTTGAGCATTGTCCATATGGTCTCAGTGGTAATAACGTAGTCAACACTCAGCTCTGCCTTCTAGCAATCTCCGAGAGTGTTGTCTGAACTCTTACTGCCGGTGTGGCGGTTTGCTCGGATACCTCTGCTAATGCTCTAGAAACAACGGCCATCTGTGTTTGTCCACTGTGCACTGTGTAGCCATTGTTCAAGTTATATTTTGTGTTTATTCGATATCAGCATCAAAAAATAGAAAAGGATCTTCATGGCTAAGTGGTCAAGCCATTGGCCTTTCAATCTGAAAGTCATAGTTTCCTTTCCCGACTGTGTCGTTCGGTTTACGAGTGCAAGTGTTATCCCCGGAATCGTCATTTGAGCTAAGAAGCTCGTGCTTGGTGCGACGCTCTCAGCATTTAGACTGAGCTATGCGAGTTAAGATCGCTCCATCCGACTCTAACTCCCAAATGTAACTTTTTCTCAAAATACAAACACAACGACATTACAGAATGGCGAACTTACAGCGGCTGAAATGAAAGCAGTCAATTAACTTTGTGAGTCCAGTGGTCTCCTTGTTGCCCCCAGACGGGCACGGCTTGCACGTGTGGGAGTAGTCATGATCCTGGTAGCGTTGAGGCGGACAGGGCAGGCACTCCAACAGACTCTGGGACATGTAGTAGCCCTTCGAGCATCCACCTGTAGCCACGGACAGCCACATCACACATGTTAGCAATGTCTCAGAGACTAGCAGCCACACGCATGCTAGCAGTAGCACATATAACAGCAATATCTGAAAGACTAGCAGCCACGCGTATGCTAGAAACATCCCATAGAACAGCAATATCTGAAAGACTAGCAGCCACACGTATGCTAGAAACATCCCATAGAACAGCAATATCTGAAAGACTAGCAGCCACACGTATGCTAGAAACATCCCATAGAACAGCAATATCTGAAAGACTAGCAGCCACACGTATGCTAGAAACATCCCATAGAACAGCAATATCTGAAAGACTAGCAGCCACACGTATGCTAGAAACATCCCATAAAACAGCAATATCTGAAAGACTAGCAGCCACACGTATGCTAGAAACATCCCATAGAACAGCAATATCTGAAAGACTAGCAGCCACACGTATGCTAGAAACATCCCATAGAACAGCAATATCTGAAAGACTAGCAGCCACACGTATGCTAGAAACATCCCATAGAACAGCAATATCTGAAAGACTAGCAGCCACACGTATGCTAGAAACATCCCATAGAACAGCAATATCTGAAAGACTAGCAGCCACACGTATGCTAGAAACATCCCATAGAACAGCAATATCTGAAAGACTAGCAGCCACACGTATGCTAGAAACATCCCATAGAACAGCAATATCTGAAAGACTAGCAGCCACACGTATGCTAGAAACATCCCATAGAACAGCAATATCGAACGAACGAACGAACGAACGAACGACCGAACGAACAAACTCTATTTTCAAAGGTTTACAAAGTGGGCAACCAAGCCTATCTGACATTCGGCCATTCTAAGCACTAATCTGTCAGAGTACCAATGCCTGTTATGCATAAAATAAAGAAATATACATTATAGAATAATGCATAAACATTATTACACAGTTTCATATGCATTCATACATCCACCAACATGCATACATACACATATAAGTACATACATGCATACATACACACATGCAAGCCTACACACATTACATACATACACACACATGCATGCATACACACATACATGGATACACACATATACACATCACACATACAGACACCCACATACATACATATATACATACATACCTGCCTACAGACTAGCAGCCTCCCAGATACTAGCAACATCACATAGACTGGTAATATTTCAGAGACTAGCAACCTCACATATGCTAGCAACATCACACAGAGCAGAAATATCTGAAAGACTAGCAGCCTCACAGAAACTAGCAACATCACATAGAGCAGCAATATCTGAAAGACTAGCAACCTCACAGATACTAGCAACATCACATAGACTGGCAAATTTCAAAGAATAGCAACCTCACATATGCTAGCAACATCACACAGAGCAGAATTATCTGAAAGACTAGCAACCTCACAGAAACTAGCAACATCACATAGAGCAGCAATATCTGAAAGACTAGCAACCTCACAGATACTAGCAACATCACACAGCAGAAATATCTGAAAGACTAGCAGCCTCACAGATACTAGCAACATCACATAGAGCAGCAATATCTGAAAGACTAGCAACCTCACAGATACTAGCAACATCACATAGACTGGCAAATTTCAAAGAATAGCAACCTCACATATGCTAGCAAAATCACATTAATATCTCAGGGATTAGCAGCGTCACAGATACTGGCACATCACATAGAGCAGCAATATTTCAGAGGCCAGCAGCCTCACATATACTAGCAGTGATGTGCCAGATAGGGCACACTCCATCGGGCTGCCCTTCGAGCAGATAACTGTGGACACGAAAGCAGTTTAGCAGCATCACATTCACATTAGTTTAGCCATGCTTCTCAGACATAATCATTTGCTTATAGCAGCGGCACCAGAAGGTTTTGATCAGTCCTTACCGGAAAGAAATAATAAAGATATTGCTGCTCTATGTGATGTTGCTAGTATCTGTGAGGTTGCTAGTCTTTCAGATATTTCTGCTCTGTGTGATGTTGCTAGTATCTGTGAGGTTGCTAGTCTTTCAGATATTGCTGCTCTATGTGATGTTGCTATGTAAAACATAACATATTTATTTCTACTACAATTATATTAAAGCACTTAAATCAGGTTCGAGTCCTTTGGAGTCCTCCGACTTTCTGTCCCCTGGAAATTTATAAAAGATCTTAACCCCCTCTGCTCCCCCTCCCCACTTGTTTCTCTCCCTGCCACTCGCTCACTCACCTAAACAAAACACGAAATTATTATAGAGACAAGATTATCTTACGACATGTATAATCATTCTCGATCCGGGTTGCCATAGGGCACTCAATGTAGAAGCCTTTCCTGTTGATCCAGGAGTTCCCCTGTTGGCCTTCGACGATGAAGGATCTCGAACTTTCGTTTTGTGAGTAGCTGTGGATGTTAACGTTTCCAGGTGAGGCAAGCAGACAGACATAACATGAGACAGTGCCAAGTGAGGCAAGCAGACAGACATAACATGAGACAGTGCCAGGTGAGGCAAGCAGACAGACATAACATGAGACAGTGCCAGGTGAGGCAAGCAGACAGACATAACATGAGACAGTGCCAGGTGAGGCAAGCAGACAGACATAACATGAGACAGTGCCAAGTGAGGCAAGCAGACAGACATAACATGAGACAGTGCCAGGTGAGGCAAGCAGACAGACATAACATGAGACAGTGCCAAGTGAGGCAAGCAGACAGACATAACATGAGACAGACAAATGAATAAATAAGCAGGCACAGAGCACACGAAATCGAGGACAAGCAAATACTTGAGAGTAGTGGACAGCAATGGACGATAGACACTATCGAGAGAGAGAGAGAGAGAGAGAGAGAGAGAGAGAGAGAGAGAGAGAGAGAGCTGCTTGTAGTCAGGAATACCGACCGATGAAAAGACAGTCAACAGACAGAAAGACAGACAGACAGAAAGACAGACAGACAGACAGACAGACAGACAGACAGACCGACTGTGACGTGACGCGTGGTTTAAATGTTTATGTTGTTGAGTAGGGATCTTCCTTTCAACACATTCCCTCCACCAGATTAACGGAACTAAAGTCTGAGCTATGTTGCTCTCAGACAAAGTCCTGGATATCCAAGAAAACAGCCATATTGGCTCGTTAAGTACATTAACATTAGCTGAACTTGGTACCCACAAGAGAAGGCAAGGAATTTTAGATGTCTATCATACTTAATGAATTATTAGACAGGGCAAGTGATTCCTCCGTCATCTACCTTCTCCCGGTGTTATTATAAATAATTAAAGAATTATTATATTATTAATTGAGCCCCCACCAAAAATGTAATTCTATCTATGTTTTAGTTAAACAGGTAAGACTGAATACACTTGGAATTTAACAAACGATGTAGTATAAAACTTGACATACAGCTTTATTTTCTAACAATCAGTTAATTGACATACCCAGTTTGTTGTGTTTACACAAACAGTGACTAGCTAAAGTTATGATAGTAATGGGTTGTTTCAGCGCGAGAACAGCACCTGGGATTAGAGTGGTGTGATGAAGGTGATAAAGTATGAACAATTTATGAACATAACTCAAGTTTCATAGAACCTCTGACAGCCGTGAGCACTGTCAAGCTCTTCCTCCTCTTCCAGCTTCTTCCCTGCTTGTTTCTCCTCCTCGCCCCCACCTCGTTCTCCACCTCGTTCCCAGCTGGCCGAGTCTAACACAATGTAGGCTACTTCATGGACTGATCGTCACATGGGCGCTGTAATCATGGAAACAAAACACATACGTGTAGTATCTTGACTTACACTAAGAATACATGTATCAATTAATACAACATATAATAATAGGATATAGTAATAAGATATAGCCCATCACTCCTCCTCATATTCCACATCCTCTCCAGTCTAGTCTGAAGGTCTTTTGTCTTACATGGGCGTCACATATCCTGCCTTCCCTCAAATGCTATGTCATGATAGTTGACTTTCTAAGTCTGTTGTCCGTCTTCACTCAGACTTCGAGTTGGCTGACATAGATATTACATGACCACGTGGAGCAGGTTATGTGCTGAAAACTCAAACATTATATATATGTGCACGCTGTCCTGAATATTATCTTTCAGTGACAGTAAATACTGTACACCCATCATTCTCCCCCTGGGGTTATAAATCCCCTGTTTAGGTGAACACATTAAGTGAGCACATGGTGGGCACACAAAACGTAGCAGCATCCCTGCACATATTTGGGCATCATTTCCCACAGTCCCAACTCATATTTTGGCTGATCGTGAAAACAATATAATTACATTTCATTATAGCAAATGTCATTGTTCACATCTTATTTTATACACATGAAAACATACAATGAAAAACATGTGACACAAACATACAGGAAATAGGAATAGTTTAGCAGTTCCCTAACTTGAGATACTGAATACTCACAGAACTATTTCAAGCAGAATGTGCAGACAAATTAGGAAAAGGTAGTATAGACTAAGCTTAACTCCCTAACCTAAGTATACAAGATTAAAATTAATATTTTCTCTCACCTGGGAACTTCCCATTAATCGCCAAACCAGAGTACGACAGTAAAATATACCTTTACGTCGACCTGTTTGTTTGCCGGCAGGCTGCGATTAATGACGGGAATTCCACAGGCTCGCAGTATAAGTATTAATCTATTGTCCAAATTAAACTCCTCCCTTTCCTTAGTTTTTACCCAACCCTCAAGATGATGGCTTAAGCTCCTCCTCCGAAGTACCTATCAACTCACATTAGCTAACAAGTGGCCTGTCAGTCAATTATGGACTGACATCCCTAGAGCAAACATTCTTAAGTGCCCCAATCTAGTTTACCCCGAATTACACTGACGTGTTAAACTTTAAACTTCTCCTCGCCTCAATGTCTACAGTCCGCTCAATTCCCCTGTTCAAAAGGGCCCCACTCAGGCTGTGTTAGGAGATAACATTATGACACTGGCGTGAGAATCAAACCTACACCCCTAGTCTCATCAAAAGTCTGTTCAAAGCAGTCTGGTCAGGAGATAACATTTATGACATGGGCATGTGAAAGGGAATTCTCTAGCCCCGGTGTAATTGTGTAACATTACCCAAGACTGAGTCGCTTTGTCTGGACTAAGGACTGGAAACAATTTAAATCCGTGCGGTTTAAAGCAGTATTATGATAAAGCGCAGAGTAAATATAATTCTGTCTCTTTAGAACCAGAAGAACTTATTACAAGTACTAACTTTTGGAATCACTGAGATCGTCTCGTGACACCGACCGACCGACCGACCGACCGACCGACCGACCGACCGACCGACCGACCGACCGACAGACAGACAGACAGACAGACAGACAGACAGACAGACAGACAGACAGACAGACAGACAGACAGACAGACAGACAGACAGACCGACCGACCGACCGACCGACCGACCGACCGACCGACCGACCGACCGACCGACCGACCGACCGACCGACCGACCGACAGACAGACAGACAGACAGACAGACAGACAGACAGACAGACAGACAGACAGACAGACAGACAGACAGGGGGAATGGATGTTGGGGGAGAACGAAGAGACAGACAGAATGGTTTTATGAACCGTGGGGTATCATTGGATGAACTGATGGTATGGACACTGCCTTTACCAATGAACAATTTGTAGTACAGTTTATCCAGTGTTATCCGACGGTCAGCACCAATGTTGTCAGCAACTCGATGAATGTTGTGAGGAGTAACTGCGGTAAACGGACTGCCAGTCTACTTTGTGTTAGCTAATGAGGACTCGTCAGCGTCAGCTTCATCATCAAACGACAATTCAATGAATTGTGGAGAGAACAATCTAACAGTAAACATCCACAAGACCCCATCAGAAGACTCGACTGAAAGCAACAAACAACCATTTTCCATCTACGAACAGGATGCTGAAGGCTCAACTACCACAGGCATAAAATAAAGACTGTACAGTCCCCACATTGTGCGTGTCAAACAGGACCACAAACACCTGAGTATTTTCTGCAGAACTACCTAATCTACCTACAACTTCGAAAAGACGCCTGGCCTCAAGAGCAAAGTGCGCAGAGAAAGATATGGGGAACCATTAAGGACCTGCTACTGACATGCGAGTTCATAGAGACAGTAAACTTGATGGTCTGATCTGAGCATACAAAATCGAACGCAAAGAAGAAGAATCTTAATCACAACGATGTACCCACTGTCGGGCTAGGCTAACTTCCGTTGTCGATTCTTCATTAACATTCTTCAAACTTACAGAGATGCTAATTGGGGAATCTCGCCATTAGCATTGAGGAATTATGTGACACTGCATTTTTTTAATCGAAGGTCCCTGGTAAACAATTTTTTTTAAACCGTTACAGTGGTGCCATCTGTTACTGAATTAGGCTAGTAAAGCAGTACAATACATAAGAGCTGACTGGGGAATTATACTGAATTTACAAATTGGACGTAAATAAAGTATTGACAAAGTTTTTAAAAAAAATATGATGCAGTACTTATTGACCCTTGTGTTGAAAATGACCTTGGCTCCCAGGTCGACCCAGCCTTGAGTGGGTACCGATTGCAGTCCCGGGAAGTAAAGGCGGCCAGCGTGATGTTGGCCACATTACCAATCTTGTGCCGATTGGTCTATAAAAATATAGGTCAAGACCTATATGCCCTATAGGCCTAAAGGCGTTTAAATGGGTCCTTTACTTTGATTACTTAATGACCGCCCGTCGTTTAATGTATATAACTTAGCGATAAGCATCACTTGTACCAGTGGTTCTAAACCTGGCTAACACTTACACCAGTGGTTCTAAACCTTGCCAATGCCGTGACCCTTTAATACAGTCCCTCATGTTGTGGCGACACCTAACCATAAAATTATTTTCTTTGCTCCTTCATAGCTTCAGTGAATATGCGTATTTCGATGATCCAATGCGACCTGTGTGAAAGCATCGTTCAACCCCCAAAAGGGTCAAAACCCATAGAGAACCGCTCACTTACACAGTAGGTCACAAGAAGGAAAAGAGCTTCTTTTATTATCTGCAAACTCTGTGTCTCAAACCTTCATCTTTGGCTTAGCTCTTGTAATCACCGTTTCTCAATCCCGAAATACTATCGCTGCGAGTCAGCTGCACGCGGTGTGATAGCAGACCGCTTTGCAAAGAATTGTACAACTGCATAAGCGTCGTATCGTTCGGGAAGCATTGGCAAAATCCTGGCACATCTCAGAGTGCACAGTTAATTTAGTTTTTGAGGCGGGACTGCTGGATTCTGTTACAGCCTGTTGTTTTATTCGACAAGGTTGAGTAGAATAGTACGAACACATACCCTTCAAATGTGGAGAACCAGACATCGAAGGTGTCCAACATATCCGGGCTAAACGGCATTCTCAGCCACGCGTCTACCTGCAGTATTACATGCAAAGCTGGTTATGTAAAGATAGTTTTAAAAAACCAGTTTGTTTGTAGCTTATCCCCTCAATTCTTTTCAGCTGCATAAAAAGGACCTCAATGGTGATAACCCTACACACATAAATCCTGTTGATCTTGTTCTTCCTCTTCTTCGTTTTCACAGGCTGTAGACTCCGCCGGAAAGCTTTGGTTGATCGACCACTTGTAGGCTTGATAATCAATATAGAACAGGTAGTATTGGCCATCGGACGTTGGGGTTCATACTGAGGGGAGGATCTGAGCTCCTATGGACATGTCCGGAGTGCAATGATGATAACCCAACTAACTAACTAACTAACTACTTGTAGACTTGATGTTTTTTCCTGAATCCTGTGTTTCATGCACATCCGTTTTACAGATTTGACGTTTTGTATGCAGACTGCAGGTTGCTTGCCTCGCAAGCCGATGCACTCTGACTTTGAAGGAAGCACCACATGCTTGTTGGGGAGACAGTGGGTTTTTTCCACAACTGGGCCTCAGAACCCACTATAGGAAATATAATGTTTAGCCGTATAGAAATTTTTGGGTCCCGACGGTAACGGCATTATTGGAAGTCCGGGCAGGACAGAGAAACTTATTCTTTGCAGGTACTTCGTTTAATACCTGAAGATAAAGACAGCTAGTCTTCACTTTTAATCTCAGGGGTCAAGTGAAAGAACTGCGTCGCGTGGATCAATGTTTAGTTTAACATAGCATGGATCAAGACAGGGTGTTTCTTAACTAGGAATGGGGCTAGGCGTTTTATCTCTTAGATCAAGACAGAGAATTTCACATAGTGAATCAAGGCATTCTATGTCATCAAATAAATCAAGATAGAGTTTTAAATCTCTTGGATTGGGAGGCTGGGATCTCTAGGCATGGTGTCTGCCTCCATTGCTAAAGATTTTGAGTTCAATCCCCAGGAAAGGCTATGATTTTTTTCACGTGGACTTTGACTTCTAGTAATCCCCCCTGGTCTCTGGGTAGTGAGATATGACGCCCGTGTGCATTGTTGCGCACATACAAAAATTCCTTAGCAGTTGGAAATCGAAAAGACTAGCCTAACCGCGCTGCCCGGGCAAAATTTAAAGTTAAAAATCTACCCAAAGAATTTCAGGATCCTCGCCGGTGCTACAGAGCCTGTGCACCGTGCTGAGCTTCTTCAGACTTGAAGAAGAACGGAGCACTTAGGGGAATATTACCCGTGTGCCATGATGTTAATCGGTTGTTCAAACCTCATCTCTTGGATTGGGGCTTGGTATTCAATCTCTTAGATCAGGGCATATATGGTGCTCTAGTGGATCAAATCATGCTATGTCACCTAATAGGTCTAGATAGAGTATTTAATATCTTGGATTTATGCTTTGTATTTAACCTCAAGGATCACAGCAAACAATGTTTTCTAATATATCAAGACAGAGTATTTCATTTTGTGGACTCGTACTTGATATTTCATTGCATGCATCAGGGCAAAAAATAGTATTCATGAGCATTCATTCAGAGTGTTTGATTCTGTGTATTAGGTGTGGCATTTAATCCCTTGTATAAAAGTAAAGATCCCCCCCCCCCCACACACACACACACACACCCTCCGGATCAGGAAATAATATCTTATTATTTGTCTAAGTCGGGATATTTCATTTCATGGATCAGGGTGTATTATTTTTTACAGCAGGTCAACGTAAATTAATTCCACCCGTGGGTCAAAGTAAAATAATTCCTCCCCATGCTCAAGGTAAAGTATTTGCCCCCGTTTTTTAATTAAATAATTCCTCCAATGAATCAGCGTAAAGTAATTGCTCCCAATGGTCAACGTAAATTAATTCCTATAACGGTTGAAGATTAAGTAATTGCTTCCCATGGTCTAGGTAAATTAATTTGCTCCCATAGGTCAAGGTAAAGTTGTATCTTTCATGTAGCAAGGTAAAGTAATTGTTCCTATGGGTCCAGATAAAGTGGGAAATTGAGTATCTACCCCATGAATTAGAATGGGTTCTACTTCTTCTTTGCGTTCACTGGTTTTATACTCTGGGGGACAGTTCAGATTGTTTGTCCACGTCTGGACTTCATTTGTGTTCCAGAACTTGAGTGTTGCGTGCACATCAATGTTACAGAACTGACGTGTGTATGCAGATTTTTGATTCCTTGCCTATCAGGCGATACACTCTGACTTTAAAGGAAGCCCCTGGCCTCCATTTAGTCAACTCTTACGACATGCTTGTTGGGGAGACAGTAGGTCTATTCTTTTTTTCCCCCTACAACAGGATTTCTAAAGCCACACCGGGAGGAAGGGACTTTTATACCAATAATCATGGAGAATTTCATTTCACAAATCAAAAGAGAGTAAAGTACAGTCATAGGTGTACCAGTAACCTCATTTCCATCTGTCATTTAAATTTTTTGGCTCGGAATGACCGAAACACCTTTTCCCTTTGTTCTGTAGCCTTCCTTTGTTTTTTCTTTTTCTTTTTAAACTCTGCAACATCTGCTAGTTCACTCTTGCTGTCCTAAACAGGTATGCTCAGCTAATGTCTATGTGTATCATTGCAACACACGGTGTGTAAAAGAAATATGTCATATTTGGTCTGCGTTTGCAACAACAAAAACAGTTTGCCAATTTTTCAGTCATTGCAGTTAACTGTGATTATTGTGCCCAACTGGGTTTCTGTGAGACTGAAAGAGTTACAAACACACAAGGCGTTTCGTCCTGTACATACCTGCCAGGCTCCGTTGAGGCATCTAATGTCGTAGGTCCAGAAACAGTTTAGAGTT